TTATCATTAGCGTTAGTGTGAACCCAACGTCCCCCTCACCTCGACCTACACCTGCTCTCGAGACATTATACCCCCGGAGGTTCACCGTCTTACCCGTCCTACCCTACCCAAGTAACAGAGATTCGTCTGAAACACGTCAATTTAAAGTATACTGACGTCAGGACCATTTCGTCACGTTGACGTGTTTAAAATCGCGATATTTGACGTTATTTTGACGTCAAAGTGACGTAAATCTTGACTCTCAACAGTCACGTTTATGTCACTGATGACCTAAAAGTGTCAATATTACGTCACTTTGACGTCAAAATTACGTCAAATATCGCGATTTTAAACACGTCAACGTGACGAAATGGTCCTGACGTCAGTATACTTTAACTTGACGTGTTTCAGACGAATCTCTGTTACTTGGGTAGGGCTGGTATGGTGTACCTACCGGGGGTGCTGTCAACACGGAAAGAATTGATCCCTTTCTGCTTGGAATGTCAATACCAGAGGGGTTCAATCCTTCCTACGGTGATAGACAACCTAGGAACTGTGTATTAGGCTGTCCGACGGAAAAAAAGTTTTCGAGGTTCGGGCGCTAAATGATAGAGGACATTAAACGATGATTTCCTGTCGTTGTCCGAGGTCCGTGCGACAACGTTTAGGGGTCGCGCCACTCGATTTTCGAAACGCCCTCCGAGAGCGCGGGAAAAAGGCTCGCTTCTTGTTGGGAACGTTGGGCGCGCTGCGCGGCGCGCCACCGGAGGTGTCGACGAGGGTGAAACTGAGACCTTGGGGGTTATACTTTACATCCGGCAAGTGGAATTGGTCACCACCGTCGCCCCGTCAACTCCAGGGGCCTAAGTGTCTCGTTCCGCGTCACTTGCGCTCGGTGCTCGAAGTCCGCAAAAGTTGCGGTTTTTTCTTCGCAGACTTAAAGGGCACCTCATACCCTTTCGATAGCAGTATCGCCTGTCAAAATGCGCAACCTAAAACAGGGGTTCAAAATCTAAAAAACACGCCTGAAGGGGCCTCATCCCGATTACTAAGCAACACCTGCATACACGCATGTACTGCGGGTAGCCAGTTGGCCCTCTTCAGGCGTCTCCAGGCGTATTTTTTAGATATTGAACCCTGTTTCAGGTTGCGCATTTTGACAGGCGATACTGCTATCGAAAGGGTATGAGGTGCCCTTTAAGTCTGCGAAGAAAAAACCGCAACTTTTGCGGACTTCGAGCGCCGAGCGCAAGTGACGCGGAACGAGACACTTAGGCCCCAGGCGTTGACGGGGCGACGGTGGTGACCAATTGCACTTGCTGGATGTAAACTATACCCCCCAAGGTCTCAGTTTAAACCCTCGTCGAAACGTCCGGTGGTGCGCAGCGCCTACAACGTTCCCAACAAGAAGCGAGCCTCTTTCCCGCGCTCTCGGAGGGCGTTTCGAAAATCGAGTGGAGCGACCCCTAAACGTTGTCGCACGGACCTCGGACAACGACTGGAAATCATCGTTTAATGTCCTCTATCATTTAGCGCCCGAACCTCCTCAATTCGTCACTTCGACCTCCAATTTCGGGCAGGCTACTGTGTATTTGGGAGTACAACACTGCTGCCACGGCGCCATGGGCATGGGCGGCATGACAGCAGCAGACGGGGCGCCTATCGTTTGGGTGCTTCGGGCCGCGATTGCCTCGAGGATTGAACGGGAACGTGAGACGCGTGGCACAACAACATTGAGCACGGGAGCCAGCAGAAGAAAGACGCACACTGTGAAAAATATCGTCGTAAATTTACAAAAAATTTGTCAACTCGAATTATGATTTAAGTTGTAAATTTACGACAGCACATATTTTACTCGCCAAAGGATTTGAAGTCTATACATACTGCATGTATTTTTACGATTACGAATTGTAATTTTACAACTTGCGTCAAGGAAAATTTTCCTGTAAACCTAGGTAGGCCTACCTACTTTTTTTTCACAGTGCACCTTTCTCGGGCTTCGTTGAAGGCGTGGCAGCCAGGATGGCCGTGTGGTTGATGTGGATAATCCAAACTTTAACTTGTCACTCGCACGCGCTCGAACCACTTCCCGAACGTCCGTCCCCAACGCGACGTCCCCTGCAGACTGACCGCTCCGCTCCGGCGGCTGGACGAGCCCGGCCGGGCAAACGCCTCTCGCACGCCGCCGCCGACCCGTCCGAGCGGCGCGCTGTCGTCTGCTGATCGGGAGGATAGCTTTGTTTCGTAGACAGTCCCTGACTGTCTCTGCGAGAAGGGGAAGTCCTTCCTCACTCTCTGTTTTTGGTCTGGATGGGGGGAAGTGGACTGGGGAGAGGGGCGTGAGCATTTACGGCACCGAGGGGTCTTTGTCTACAGTCTGTTCTGATTCTGATGAAGTTGCCCGTGGCCATGTCAGTTGTAGCTACAAAGCTAGCTACAACTCACTAGAAACATGGACTTGGTCTTTCTTGTGAAATCAGCAAAAAGAGAACAAAATTGTTTGAGCCAAGAGCACTCTTTATTGTTATAGATATACAGTTCATTGTAGGATTGCTACATTACTACAGATCATTTACAGTTGAGTATATGTTGCATATCTACAGATTCTATTTGGTTAACAAGAGGACTTCTTGTAATTTGATCCTAGGACTCTGGTTAAATACTGGATTATTAATAATAAAAACAAAACAAGCGTCAGTACCTACTTTCACGTTATGGTAAAATAAAGGCTGGTTCAGGGTGTTGAAAAAGCAAATATCTAAATTTTTGATTTAAAGAAAAGGTAAGCTGACTTACATGATTTTAAATCAATACTTGAACAGTTCAGTATTGTCAGAAAGGAACGAGTTGATTGTTTCCCTTTATTTGTGGGAAACTACCTCTTAGTGGAGTGGACAAGTATGACTAACTGGACTGTGAATTAAACATTAGCACGACGCTCACAGTTTGATCTTCTAAAGTTTCGACAATGCTGAAACAGTTTTAAACTCCAAGCTTTTTTTCAGTTTAAGTATATCATTTAAGGACTTTTGGAGGACTCTTGTATAACATATACCATTGAAGATTTAACATACATATTAAAAAACTAATTTATAACAAATTTATAACAATATATTTCTTTCCAGATAATTTAGAAATAAATAAAGCTACTGGCGAACAAGTTCTATTTATCACTTACAAGTTGATCTGATGAAAAAGCATAAACAAACTTTGGCTATAATTTTGAGTGGTGTATTTAACTTGCCTTTGCAGTACAACATGGGTTCTGCCATATTTATCATAATGGTAGGTTGACTCAATTCCTTCAATGTTAAGATACAATATTTTACACAAAATATGTACAAATTCTAATATACATATACACAAAAATCACAAACAAGAGTAGATTTAGTACATTCCCTCACAGGGAAAACAATATAATTGGGCTTTTTAGTACATAATGGATCAGGATCATTCACTCTTAGCTTACAACTGTAAGCTGTACAACACACACATCAACACACCACTCACTAAAGGCTGACTTTGGGTCTGTTTAAACTTAACGAATGTTGAAAAGCAGATTGAATTTGGCAACACAGCATTTATGTACAAAATTTTCTTAAAGCCATAAAATTTGTCTGCCTGAAGAAACCCGTTTCTCTCTACAAAGTAAAAAGGTATAAAGAATAATCTGTCAGAAATAAGTTTTTCCGGCTTGAGAAAAACTTCCATGAGCAATCGCATTAAGATGTAGTCATAAGACATTTCACTTCCAGGCACACTGGGTTCTGCTCTCCCTCAAGCAGAACACATCACAAGAATTTACATCTACATATCTTAAATAGAAAAAGGAGTCCTAACAGACTCTGACTATTATGTTTCTTCAAGTTCAATCTTTTAAAATATTAAAAGACTACACACCCTGAAAGCACAAGAATGGCCTGGGAAGATTTCCTGTAGATTTACTATATGTTAGTAAGGTTTGCAAACTGTGCAGAATGAGCTGGTAAACTTTTCCTTTTATTGAGATGTCTTCTATGAATAGCTGTTCTTAGCCGAGTTAACCCAATAATAGAACCTGACATGAAGCGAGTTTTGTTATATGTCAGGTTTTATGTGAGTTGAAAAGTTTCATTTATGCTACCTGAAGATGAGCATATGTGTATGCTTTGTTTAGAGCAATGTTTCATAATATCATGATCTCCTTCTCTTTACTGCCCAAAGGATAGAAATTTGTCGTGTAACATCCTTTGACGTCATTTCTGACAGTCAAGATTATGACTAAATTTTGAGAATTTCTGGGTGGTTAGCTAGCAGGTCGTATTCTATTTAATTTGACAGTAAAAAGTTTCTTTCATTATGTGAAAACTATAGACTGTTAACACTTTGAGCATTCACTTCAAATGTAATAAAGATTTATGAAAAAGTCTGCTACAAGAGATTAGTTAAATTTCACTTCTAGAAATAATATTATAGCAAAAGAGCAGTTCGGGTTCCAACAAATAAGTCTACCAATAGTGCCGCAGAACACGGAAATTATCGCAAAATCTATCAATTATGGTTAAAAAATGGGAAACGACTTGCAAAAAATTGGATCAAATCATATTTTTAAACTTGCATAAGCAGTTTTTAGTTCTTGAAAAAACAGTCAACAGTATTATGGTCCCATAAAGAGGTCATCAAATGATATGTTTTCAAGACATAGTGACAAATTTCTGTTCTGTGGGAAGTTAACTTAGAATTGCAAAATTAATAATATTACCTATTATGAGCATAAATTTTGATTTCCTCTGTAATTACCGGTGCACCAAACTAGTGCAAATATCCACTTTGTTTCATATTTCATTATTTTTTAATTTTTTAAACCCTATCTTGAGAAAACACTGAGAAAAGGCGGCCCTTTCTCAAGAGGAAACCATGTTTCTGCCTCCATTTCATCCAAACTTCCCGCCCCCATGCGCACATCGGAGGCCAACCGGCAACCCTGGCAGCACGCCCCGATTCCAATGTCGCCCGTGTGCCCAACTTCTGGATCAACCGTTTCGGCGCCTATTTGTGTTTGTATTTCGGTTTGGGTACGGGCGAGGCAGGCGGGTGCGGGCTTGGGGCGCCTACAACATTCACTGTATTGTCAATAATTTAACATTTTTAAGACATTTTTTAACACGGATTCTACCCGTCTACCTACGGTTTCGGTGAGAACCTCCTATTGCTACTGAGTTTTGAACGAAACCTGTGCATCAATCCAATCTCGTTCGAGTAACGGATTGTGATGCTCACTTGCCGGACTCTTTAAACGTAGGATTTGAGTATTTTCTCCCGATATTAGGTAGTTTATCTTTATTACTATGGCTTTCACTGAAGCTGACTTACAAGAAAGATTAGCTGCCCTGCGCGAACAGGGCAGGAAAGCATTGGAAACATACAACCAAGAATTCGAGGTTAGTGAGTGGACGTCCTTCACTTCAATATTTAATGAATATATTTTGTTCATTGTGTTGTTTTTACTTTCGTTTTTTTTTTTAAATAGGAGCACTATGGCTGGCTGAACTCAGTTTTAGATGGATTGAAAAATTGCACCATCAATGTTCAAACTGTGCTGGTGCCCAAAACACCAGGGAAACGGCAGGCCCCTTTGTCTGCTATCAATGAAAGTTTGGAATCAAGTATTGAAATTGGTATTGTATTTTTCAGTGTGTTGTTTAAAACTATGAATTTTTAAAGATCATTTAATGTTCATTGAGAAAAACTTACATAAATTTGAAATTGCAGAGGATGTTAAACCTGTCCGCGTCAGTGCTCAAAACAAGGTATATTTCTATCTCATGTTTTGTGAATTTTATTTGTCTCTTCTGCTGCTATGCCTTTCACTGCAGTCAATTTCTCTATCTGGTTATGCTGCTCCTTATTCTTGTGCTTTAATGTATTTTTTTCCAGAGAGTGTCAAGGAAAGGACAATCAAAGAAAGCTGCTTCTAAACTGAAAAAGGTACCAATCATTGAAGAAGATGATGATGATGATGTTGAATTTTCAGCTCCTACAAAGCCTCAGAAGAGACTAAGTGTAAGATTGCTTCAACAGTTCTTTGTTTAATTACATGGTTGAGTTCTCTTTTAGTTTTACTTTTTATGTTTTTTTTTTATTTTTCCACTGTCTATTTTTTCAGGAGGAGGCTGTTGATAATGCATCAAAACGTCTGTGTGGAAATAGGACTAGTGAGACTACTAGTAGAGACAGTGGTCTGTCATCTGTTGGCAGCCGTAACACCCGTGGCAGATCATTGGGTGGTAAGTTGTCTCAATATTTTGGTTCTCACTAAATTATGGATCTATAATTGATAGTAGCTGCCAATTTAATCCCAGTGACACAAGATTTGGACCTTTAACAGTGGTTTAACATTCTCTTCTAATTGTGCTTTTTTGCAGGTTTTGCAGTAAAACAAGAAGTGATGACTCCGAAAAACACCAGCACTAACAGCACAGTTTCTGAGGAGGAGGAGGAAGAAGAAGGAGTTTTGTCTGTTGATGGTGATAGCTCATCAGCAACTTCAAGGGATCCTTCTCAGTCTGGTGCTGTACCTCAACCTTCCAAAAAGAGGTCCCGGTCTACTGGCAGAGATGCTTTAGTGATAAAGGAGGAGCCCAGACGAAGTTCTCGGTGTCACTCAGAACCAAGGACACCTAATGCTAAGCGGCCATCTATTGGGAGTGATAGGACTTTAATTTTAACATCTGAGGCACGCGTTGTGTTATCCCCATACAAAGGCTCTCCTATCTTATCCCCCAAAAATCAAGCGAATTTTAGATCGCCTATTGTCAAAGCTCCACCTTCTCATCTGTAAGTTGAGCCATAGTAGAGGCAGTCGTGTCTCTGTAGTCCATCAATAATTTTACCCTTAAAATATCTATTACAGACTTAAAGGAGAAAGTGTGAAGAAAGCTGTGAAAGCATTTGAAGCATTGAATGAGGAACAAGAGACTGAGATACCAGTTCACGGCATGATTGCTCCCTTGATGCCTCCTCCATCTAAACTACTCCCGCCATCTAAAACGACTGCAACCTCAAACCAATCATCTCTAGACGATGCTCTAAATGCTCCTACCAGAGTCACTCGGACCAAGACCAGAGCTATGGCCAAAGCAGCTGCTGATGAAACCAAAAAGATAACTAAAGTATGTTGTTCCCCCATTTTTACATATTGACTAAGTATTGCACTCACTCCAAATTTGGAAGATACCCAATATTCCTTAAGGCCTTGATTGTGGCCTCTTATATACCATGTTGCCCTTCAGCATGTAGTGAAGATGCACAGCATTTGATAACTTCACACCCCACTAGTTTTCTCCATCTTTGTCTTTTCACTGTTAAAAACTTTCCTACTTTTTTTAAAGGATGATCCAAATGCTTCCACGGTCTCCAAAATTCTAAAGTCTCCTGTTCATTATCAACAGAAGAAAACTACTGAAAATAGATTTGATGTCCATCATGAAAAGGAGGTAATGTGTCTTTTAGAATTAAAATTATGTTAGAGAGTTTTGTCTTGGATAAAATTTTCATGTTGTTTCTCTCAGAACTCAACCATTCCTTCATCACGAATTGTTACTAAGCCATTTGGAAGTGCCAGCAAGCAGCCACAGTTCTTCTTTAAAGCCAGCACACCACTTCGCATCACCCCAGTGACGCCCAGCCATGCTGCAAGTACCTCTTTCACTGTAAGTACAAATGGGCATCATGATCTTATCTGTTATTACTAAACTATTTCCAGCATTGAGTTCATTTCTCTTTGCTTAGGCTCCGCGTATCAACAATCTCGTGACATCTGTTGAATCATTCATTTTAAAGCCCGTAGTGAACCAAGAAGTCAAACCGTCTAGAGAAGAAAATCTCCAGAAGCTTGTTGCCAAAGCAGAAGTGGCCAGCAAGAAAAAGGAAGAGATCATGAAGGCTCAAATGGAGGAAAGGATTAAGTTAGTACAATTTATTTAGTGTACTTAATATAAACTTTCTCCATTCCCCATCCCATATTGTACTTAAATGTGTTGCTCATGAACTATACCATTGCTATTTCTCAGGAAACGACAAGAGAAGAGATTGAAAGTTTGTGCAGCCCGTGAGGCTATGGAAAAAGAGAAGCTAGAAATGCTTCAGAAACTGGAACGTGAAAGGGAAGAGAAACAGAAGCAACTTCAAGCCGAAAGAGAAGAAAAATTGAGGCAGGAATATTTGAAAAAGAAGCGTGTTGCCCAGCAGAAAGCAGCTGAAACTGAAGAAAGACGGCGCCAGGAGGAGGCGGCTCGCCTTGCAAAGCTGAAGCAGCAGGTATATTTTGTACCTACTCCCTTAAGTATTTTTTGCTGACTACTCCTGGTTTCTGGTTTAATACTGAGTTTTGCTCTAACAGGAAGATGAACAGAATCGCATTGCTGCGCAACGTAAAAAAGAACAGGAAGAAGCTGATAAAAGACAACAAGAACGCATGCAACAAGAACGTGAGGCAGCAGCTCTGAGGTTAGTGTTTCGTGAATAATCCTTTACTGTATGTCTATGTGTCATCATCATAGAGCAGTGAAATACTGACCCTTTATTTATCTTTTAGAGCTAAAGAAGCAGATCGGCTTGCCAAAGAAGCCTCCATCATTGCCAAGAAGACTTCGAAAGTCCAGCTTGATCAAACGTATGACAAACTCTCCCCTGGTCCTCAAACATATGGAATGACACCAGGACCAGAAGAGCGGGAACCAATCCCCAATACAAATCCAGACAACTATGGCATTGAAGATGCTGGGACCGATGACTCAAGTGAAGATGAGGCAAAACCGAAAAAGGTGGTGCCTCTGTGGGCTCAGCGTAAGTTTTTTATTTGATTATTCTAGTATGCAGCATTGCTCTTTACGCCTGAAAGCAGGAAATTACATATCCATCTGTATTTATGCTTTGCAGCCAAACATCGCATACACAAACTTATGGAGGACTATGAAATAAATCATCATCAGATGTTCGTCTTCTTTGGTAGCAAGAAGAGTACTCCAGATTTGAGTAAAATCTTTGTTGCTATCGATCGCCGCCAGTTGATTCGGAAGTCAAGTGCTGTATGGCGCACGCCGCCAGTGAAACATTGAGTGAATCATTATACTCTTATTTTCCCTTTTTGTATGTGTTTCTAAATTAAAGTTTCAATAAAAACAAATTGATAAAAAACAAATCGATAAATTGTTAAAATACATAAGAATTGACAAAGCCACCAAAATTGATAAATTTTCCCCTAGTTAATTTATTGATTAAGTTGAAGTATAGGTGATGGTGGAATGTGACACATGGTTCAGTTTGCTTTTAAATACAACTATATTGGCAGTAAATAAAAAAATATAACAATTTCCACATGTTCCAAGAGACACAGTTCATTTAATCAAGTTTAGTAATTTTGCATGGCTCAGCCCGAAAACCAGGTATGCATTCAATCAAATGCTTACTCCATAATGCCCTGATCAACTGTTCTCGATCTGCTGGATCTTCCAAAGGTAGACAAATGGCAGCAACAAATTGTTCACTCGAAGCTTTAAGAGTTTCTAGGCTAGTATAGAAACTGGTGGGAAGAACAAGAGTAAGAGCAGCATGTTCATTCACCTGCATAAAAATAGTTATTAGCACACATTAGATTTACTAGCAAACTCTTTTATAGGAGAGCTGTTAAATATTAGCATCATTTGTAGGATGGTGTGATAAACCTATTTAAAAATTGAGTATACCAACCTGTTTGTTTAATGAAGGTACCATGTGGTTAACTCTGGAATTCAGCAATGAACTAAAGACAAATAAAGCTTGTGATTCATCAGTCCCAAATAAAGACTGTGATAAAAATTGAAATTGAGTGTTGGCTGAGTCATCTAATGGAAAGGAGTCTGTTTTAGAAGCCAAATCATAGTTTGTTAAGCAACTATCATCCACATCACTTCTGTCAGCAATCAAAAAACACAAATGCTCTGGATACTTCAAGCGCACTTTGCATGACAGATCAGGGGGTGTACCGCCTGGTAAAGTATTCTATAGAGAGGAAAAAATGTTACAGGGATTAGGTATGCACATTCAAAAATTAAACCAGTTGATGGCTTGAGAGAAGTAATCACCCTAAGTAAAGAAGGATTTGCCCTGAATGGGGGCATGCGCTTTTCCATAAATTTCTCCATTAAATCCTTTGGTAAAGGAAATCTTTCTAAACGTGCTTTAGACAATTTTAACAAAAGAATGCCCAAAACAGATTGAAACTTCCTACTCTGTAAAAAAGAAAAACAAGTAAAAACAATAAAAACTTAGAATGTGTCTACTTGTATTTTTTGTAAAATCTGTTTCAATTACTGCTGACCTTAGTAAGCTTTGTAGACTTTAAAAAATTAATTGGAAGTCCTCGTCGAAAATCCAAGTCTGAATCAACAGCTTCTTTAATTAAGGAGGGGAAAACAGATTGTAAGTAATCTCCCCATGATCTGAAGATGGAGAAAAAGAGGAAAGACAAAAATATTAAACAATTTTAACAATACTATAAAGGAAAGCAAATCGCCTCTTTTCAATATGGCACATACGCTTTTTGGTAGGTGTAGACTACTAAATGGGTTGCATGTGTATTTGTAACAATTGAAGTATTTTGATAAACAGTTCCACGTGGAAGGTATAAGAGGTCTCCAGCTCTAAGAAGAACTTCATGCGTAGGCTCTCCTAAGTGTTCTGAAGAAACATTTTCTAAAAAGTTCCTGTAATATAATAACAGTACTTGTCAAAATTCACCAAATAAATATTAATGAACTATGACAGGTATTAATTTTAACCTTGAAAGAGGAGAAACTGGAAAGTAAAGTCTCCACTGGGTTTCACCCTCAGTTTGAATGATAAAAGTTTCTGCATTGCTAGATTGTAGGGGTGTAAGTGACCTTTGAGCACTGCTGGGGCTCACAATCACCTTTGACCCAACTAAAGTCCCAAAAAATGATTCCAAGAGTTCTACAAGCTGCCAGAGATTATCCTAGGCAAAAAAATGTATGATTAATTAAATCAGAAAAGAGAAAAAACAAAGAAAAAAGCAACAAAATACTATCCAACACTACATCTTCAGCAGTGACACACTATTTACCTGATGACGCTGAAGCTCATTGAAACAAGCTGATGCTGACCCACCTGTCACAAGCTTGTCATACTTAGTGAGTGATAAAATTCCGTTCTCATTTAAGCTTTCCTTTTTTCCACAATTTGAATATCTCAAAATGTCTACATCTTTACCACACTGCAGATGACAACTCTTAACAAAATTTCGCAAAGTTCTATGAGACAAAGACAGAATACCGTCAGAAGTGCTGCCAGTCAATCCTTGATTTCGAGCTAAGTGTAATGGTTTTTCCTCCCAATACTGTGAGAAAAAGTTGTCAAAAGATATAGGATGGATGAGGCTAAGGAAAAGGCGTTTTGGTGATCCAAAGTCCAAAGTCATTTTGATTTCCTTAACAATTGTTATTAACTCTTCATTTCTCAAGTTGAAAACTGGAAAAAAAAGGAACATTAGCTGTTATTTTTAGAAAATAAAATGCAATTCTCAAAAGAAAGCATCCCAGTGAGAAATAAAATATCAGACTGATATCAGAACAATATCATTTGTCAATTTTTGCATTAAACTGACACATCTGATATTCAATATTGTTTCGATATCAGTCTGATATTTCATTTCATTTCTCACTGGGATATTCCAGGTAAGTGACGCACTATTTCAAAACATCACCTTACAGTTTAGCTAACGAATAATCAAGATAAAATTTATTCAAGTGAAGCAGGGAGAAAAATAAAAGCACGAAAGTATTCTGACTGAACACAGGAGTTTAGTCGCACAGCGCGGCCCGGCGACGCGCGAACATGTTGTTTCATGTGCTAATTACACCGGCGAGACGAGACGGCGCTTACGGCGCCAGTGGGGCCGGCGCCCGGCGCCACTGGGAGTCTCGGGGCGGCTTGTCATTGTAGGACAGTAAAACGTCTTGAAGCAGAGGTTCCAGTCGAAATTCGCAAAAAAATATTTCAAAGCACTAACCCAAGGAAAGCAGAGCAGTCAGCCGGCTGTTGGAAACACACAGTTCAGGGAGAGAATCTCTCTGGTATGAACTGATTTTTGTTTGCAAACACCTGTTGTGTGTGTACACACTGACAGACGGACAGTCAGTCGGAGTCGGACGGACAGACGGACTCAAGGGCCGAGGCGGCTGCGGCTGAGGGGAGAACTACCGCGACCCATATCATAAAGGACCTGCGAGGTCGGGGTATCGCCACACGCGGGTATCGCTGGTGCTCTGGAGTGTGTTCAAGGTGTCGATGGGTGTCCGTCTGCTGCTCAGTGTTAGTAACGTGGGAAATAGAAGCACCGGGAACACCAGAACCAGAGGTCTTTGGAGACCTTTTAGGTGTCCCCAACAACGAACGTCACACGATGCAACTCCAATGACAGCGCCTGCTACGCGCTGGGTAGGCCAACCCGCCAAGCACCTGTGTCAGTGCGGCGGTCTGCCCACAGCGTGCAAATGAACGGCCAAAGAGTGCGTTCATCACGTTTACCTCACTACATGAGGGCGCTTAAAGTGAAGCAGATCCAGGGAGAGAGGGGTCGGGGTAGCGCGTAAGTACGCGTAAGCAGTATGTACGGTGCTGTTTGTGCGCAGAAAGTAGTGAGATAGAGAAGTCATCCATATCTTTTCCTCAAAATGTATTTATTATTCTAATGATGTCGTAATCAGTCTTTCCCCTCTCCTCCGTTACATTACAAACACACATGTGGCCCATAAGTTGCTAAGGACCCCAACCTTTTCATCACATCACAAATAAATCTCTGAGAATGGGAAAATCTATTTTGGGGGGCAAACGAAGGAATATTAACATATATATTTTAACTTAATCTTGTTGAATAAATGAAAAATTCTATATACTATGAAAATTATAATATACAATCCTTAGTAAGCTTTGTAGACTTTAAAAAA